AGGGCTGGGATATAGCTCAGTTGGTAGAGTGCTTGCCTTGTATGCACAGGCCCTGGGTTCAATCCCCAGCACCAAAAATAAATAAATAAATAAATAAACAAACAACTAGCTTATGATATTTTGTTATAGCAGCCCAAATGGATTAAGATGGGAGGGAACAAGGAGCTAGGGCTGTGGCTCAGTGGTAGAGCATTTGCCTAGCATGCATGAGGTACTGGGTTCAATCCCTGGTACCACATAAAAATAAACATTTAAAATAAAGGTATTGTGTCTACATCTAAAAATAAATAAAGATGTGGGGGAATGGTCTCAATGAAAAGGTCTGGTAATCATCAGATTTGCATTTTAGAAAGATTTTTTTTCTCAGAAAAATTCATTATAGATTAGTTTCCATTGTTGTGCTTACTTTTCAATGACATACAAATCTTATCTGTTTCAGTTGTTAGTTGTTTAAGGAGTTGGAAAAATATTTGAATAATAGAAAAAATTAAGAAAACTAATTGTAGAGTACCATTAAATGTACAAAGCATTTAGCCATATGTACTTTTGCGGCACATATTTAGAAGGTAAATGGTATAGACAGAGATTTGGACCTGGTTTCACCACTTTTCCACCCTATGTCTGTGGACGATGCTGATAAGTGATGATGGCACGAAGTCCTATTGTCTCAGATACAACTTTTGTCTCAGAATCCTTTTCAATACAGGTCTCCAGGCTAGCAGTGCCATGTACTCGAGTTGTCACTTGTAAATAATTCGATTTGCCATCCTAGAATGGTATAGAGTACAGACATTGTAAGACCATACAGACTGGATTGAAATTCATGATTTTCACCTTGATCCTTGGCCTAAGTTACTTGATTTCCCTAAGTATCAGTTTTTCTCATTTTATTTATTCATTCATTCATTTATTCCTTCATTCATTTTGCCCAGTCTGGTCTCAAACTCATGGGCTCAAGCAATCCTCCTGTCTCAGCCTGTGGAGTAGCTAGGAATCTAGTCATGTGCCACCAGGCCCAGCTTAGTTTTCTCATTTTAAAGTTAGAAATAAAATCATATATACAGAGGGCTCCTTTTAATTAAAAAGTAGATAACTGTGAAATTGTATCATCTCTGCCTTTACCAGTGTAAATTCAATGATCACACTGARAAGAGTGAGAGGTAGAAATCGGTAACCATTCTACTCAAGAGCAAATATGGGGTGGGGGACACCTTCCATTGAATCATTCATTATTCTCAGTTTCAGCATGTCTCTCATAGAATGAACATCTCACCCAATAAGAGTGGTTCTGTTGTTTGAAAGGATATATTTGTCCCAAAAACATGATCCTTAAATGCAGGCCAACAACATCTTATGTTACTTAGATGAATAGTGGTGGTCACATTAAAGGATGGTGAGGGGGACTTGTTTCTCCCATATTCTCCATCAGCTACTCACCCTGCCTCACAACAACAATAAGAAAAAAAGTAAGTGAAAAACAGCATACTAGCTAGATAAAAGTTGGGACAATCTTCAAATCCCCATAGTCTCTCCTTCCAACCAGACTGATACTTCTTAGCTCCTCCACTGTACAAATTTGAGAGCTTCCTGTTACTGAAAATATTCAATAGAGGGATGTATTTTTAACTCTAGGGGTACCAAGAGCTCTTAAGCAGGGAAGCAACAAAGGAGCTGGAGTTTAGAAAGCCTGCTATGGTAGTGAAATGTGTCACTGTTCTCAACCTGGTTTCTAGCAATAAGTTATAGATCATAAGTACAATACACTATGGACTATCAAACTGATTAACTGCATTTATGCATGTTCCTGATGCCCTCAGGTGCAAGAAACCCAGATGTACTGAACATAAATTAAAATCAACAAGATTGATGACCAACTGGGGATAGCTAAATAAGAATACCTGACTTCAGGACTAGATACTGTATTACTCATTTTCTCTTGATATAACAAAATATCTGAGGCTGGGAACTTTATAAAGAAAAGAGGTTTATTTAGCTCACACTTTTGGAGACTGAAGGTTCAAGGTCAACTCTCTTTATCTGTTCACCCTCTGGTGGACCCACTTGGCTGTATTATACATGATACCACCATGGCAGGCAACATGCTCAACCAGGAGAAAACATGTGGAGACAGGAAGAAGCCAATCTTGCTTTTTTATTTTTTGTATCAGGGATTATATTCAGGAGCACTTAACCACTGAGCTACATCCCCAGCCCTATTATTTTTATGATTTAGAGACAGGGCTTCACTAAGTTGCCTAGGGCCTCACGAAGTTGCTTAGGGCCTAAATTGCTGAGACTGGCTTTGAACTCATAATCTTCCTGCCTTGGCCTCCCAAGCTACTGGGATTATAGGTGTACACCACCATGCATGGCCAGTCTTGCTATTATTATTATTATTATTATTATTACTATTATTTGTAGATGGACACAATACCTTTATTTGTTTTTATATAGTGCTGAGGATGGAACCCAGTTTTCATACGTGCTAGGCAAGTGCTCCACCATTGAGCAACAACCCCACCGGAGTCTTGCTCTTTTTATAACAACTTAGTCCTCAGAGAACTTGCAACCAGAATTAATACCTCCCAATGACATGCCCAACTCTTAAAGACTCCACCATCTTTCAATATTGCCACATTGGGGAATCAAGATTTCCCATTACATGAATCAATGCTTAAGCCGTATAAACCACAGCAGACACTTAGGTGAGGATTTGATGTAGCCAAGGGGCAGGGATAACAAACAATTTATTTGCGGGTAGAAAGGAAGTAGATGCAATAATTTTGGATACTTTGAGTTGAAAGTGTCTTGTGACTGATTGCATTTATTGTGTATTTAAGGCTAGGGATGTAGCTCAGTGGTAGAGCTCTTACCTAGCATGCCCTGGGTTTGATTCTCAGCTACACACACACACACACACACACACACACACAATGCATACCATGTAGTTAATGTGACCCTGGAAATCAGAGATGTAAAATGGAGGTATAAATTGGGGAACTGTCAGTTTTTGGAAGATGACTGTGGAAAAGGATGAGCTGTCAGTTTTTGGAAGATGACTGTGGAAAAGGATGACCTAAGGAAGCATGAAAAGATAAACTGTATCCTAGGCCTATAATGAGAAGAAAAAAAACAAGTATGAGAATTCAACTTCCTGATATTGACTTTATATTAAACCATGGATTCATAGCCTGCCTCTGAAGCCACTGTGCACCAACCCCATCGCAGCCTCTTAGATTTCTCTGCTGCTTCCCCCACTCTAACACCAGGCTTCTCACCATTTGTTCACTCAGCTCACCAGACATCCTGCCTGTGCTCTGCATTCATCTTCCTGTTTATTCATGCCACAAATATTCACTGAGCAGCTGCCCTAAGCCAGGTGCTGTACTAGGCCCTGATGATACTGAAGTGACCAAAACATCCTGACTCAAAACATGAACACCCTAGTGAAGGAGATGGACACACACAAATAACTAAGTGGACATATTGGGGAGAGATAAATGCTATGCAGAAAAAAAAAAAAAAAAACAAGCTGAGCAAGGAGATATAAAGTGATATACTACTTTTGTGTGTGTGTGTGTGTATGTGTGGTGCTGGGCCTTGTGCATGCAATGCAAGCCCTCTACCAACTGAACTTTACCCCAGCCCCTTTTTTAAAAAAATTTTATTTGCAGTACTGGGAATTGAATCCAGAGGTGCTCTACCACTGAACTACATCCCCAGTCCTTTTTGTTTTTTATTTTGAGACAGGGTCTCCTTAAGTTGCAGAAAACTTGAGATCCTCTGGCCTCAGACTCCCAAGCCACCGATTCCAGCAAGTAGCAATATTTTAAACAGGGCAGAAAGGAAAGCCATCTCTGGAGGTGACAGGGGCACAGATCAGAATTAAGTGTGAAAGTTCTGTGTAAAGAGGTGAGAAATGCAACCGAATGGGGAAAGGAAATAACAAGAAGCCAAAATAAGGAGTCTTGTTTTTCCTTTTGTGTGACATGGAGTCAGAAGAGTAGTGAGTAGAGGAAGGACATGACCTGACTTAGATTTGAACAAGATCCCTCTGCCTGAGTCCAGTAAAACCTATTGAAGCAGGTCACAGTGGCGCAAGCCTGTAAATTTCAGCCACTCAGGAGGCTGAGGGAGGAGGAGCGCAAGTTTCCAGCCTTGGAAAGTTGGTGAGACCTAATTTCAAAATTAAAAAAAAAAAAAAATGAAAAAGGTTGGAGACATAGTTCAGTGGTAGAACGTCCCAGAGTTCAATCCTCAGTGATTCAAAAACAAAGAATCAATGTGGAAGAAAAAAAAGGAGAGATAACTTTTGCATTCCAACTGGAAGGCTAAGGAGATTATCCTTTATAGGAAACTAAGAGTTCACAGAACTGATCAAAGTTACAGGCAAATATTTGGGATTGGTCGGTGTACAATAAAATGAAGAGCTAGGAGCTTGGATCCGGGCATTTTAAGTGTTGGACAGAATAGGACTAAAAACCGAATCTTTGGAATGGAGTCCCAGCTCCTCTGTGAGCAGCCCGGGATGCCGAGCCGAGGTAAGGGGCACTCGTTTAGTGTGACAGATGTTGTAACAGCTCCCTGAGAGCTCCGAGAGGGGCGCGGTTGGCTCAGCAGGGGAAAAGCCGGCTTAAAAGGCCGACCTGCAGCTCTCCCGGAGCTTGGAGGCGGGAGGTAACTTTCCAGGTAGAGGGAACTGTTTACGGAGGCACTGGGCTCCTGACAAAGTACGACGCGTCTGGAAATGGCGGAGGCCAAGGTCAGGGCCAAAAAAGGAGACCAGCACTTCTCCAGTCCCGCCACGGTGTCCCAGAGTCATGAAACACTGCACCTCTGCCCGGAATTCCCCTTAAACGCTAGACCAGGCCAAGCGGCGCAACTGGGACTTACAGACGCCGGGGAGAAGTCGGGAGCGGCCCGCGGTCGCCCGAGTCTCGCGAGAGTTCGGCCTCGCCCGCCCAGCATGCCCCGCGCCGCCTCCGCTGCCGCCGCCGCCGCCGCCGCGCCGCGGWTTGAGGGCGGGAGGCTGGGGGAGGGTAGCGGAGCCGGCGCCGCCGCCATGTTGGATCTGAGGCGGCTGCTGTAGGCGCCGACGGAGCGAGCGGGCGTGCGGAGCGGCGACAGCGGCGTGGGATCTGCCTCTCTGCGAGCGGCCCGGAGGGGCGGCGGCGGCGCCATGAGCGGGGGCACCCCTTACATCGGCAGCAAGATCAGCCTCATCTCCAAGGCGGAGATCCGCTACGAGGGCATCCTCTACACCATCGACACCGAGAACTCCACCGTCGCCCTCGCCAAAGGTACGCCGGGGCCGGCCTCGGGGTGGGGGACCGGGCCGGGCGTCCACTCACTCGGGGCTGCACGCCGCTCTCGGCCCGCGGCCTCCTCGCGCCCACCTCCTCCCTCGGTAGTCCTCGGGGAGGCCGCTCCCTCCCGGCCCGGCGTCGCGGGCCGGGCCGCGGCCTCCCCGAGCTCCCCGGAGGTCCCCGCCTTAAATCCGGGGAACTACGGGACCGAGTGCGCGACGGGCGGGGCGGTGCTGAAGTCCGAGAACGGACCGGAGAACACGGAGATGCGTGTCTTCCAACTCCGAAATTCGGTGGTTCTGTCGTCTCGTCGCCAAACAAAGCCGGAGTATTCAAAGAATTTTTCCGCCTACCTTGAGTTTAGTGCTGATCCGTGGATTCCCCTGCACCCATTTTTTTTACACGTTCTTAATTTCAATTCGTTGCAATATTCCTCAAGTGAACGATAAAGTAATGTGCCAAAACTTTGGGTTCAATGTACGACACGTATGATCTCGAAAAGCCATTGACCATCGAGCAGATCACATCCTACTTGTCTCATCTGTGATAGTTACCTGTTAAACCGGAATCCTCCTGTTTCCCAGTTGTGCAACCGTCTCTTTAGAGTGCACATCAAAATGTTTGCTGTTGACCCCAAGGGCCTGTTTCTGGAAACATAGTAGGTAGGAAAGTTTAAGCTTAACCCAGGACCCTTGCTCACAGTTCAGGTTCAGATCTGAGTGGTCTGTGGCCGCTGACCGACAGGTAGATGCGCGCTTGGAAAGGGAGATTTGTTGAGGAGGAAGGTGTTCCTACCCAGATTATTTAGTAAGCATCGCGAAGTCTGTGGGTTTTGTTTCCGTTCACGAGCATAGGGCCTTTGCTCCATCAGGATACCAGAAAGAAAATAAACTTTAGCCTCTAATCGGAAAGGAAATCTCACAACAGTTTGTATCACGGAGGAGGGGAAGCAAGATAACCCAGGTAATTTTCCCAGCATCTCAGAGTTATTATAAACAGCATAACATGGTAGGGACAGATGTCCAGGGTAGGAAGAAATTTTCTGAATCTAAAATTATTAACTCGTTRATTGATAGAAAAGTTGTTTCACAGTAGCAAAAAAGTTTTAATGGCATTTTTTAAATGCTCTATTAGTCCCTTTTAATAGTGCTAGTGTTGAGACAAACCTTATATCTGGGTAAAGAATCTATATTACAGAACTGTGTACTATTGGGACTGAGAGTGTGACCCTGTTGTAGAGAACTTACCTAGAGTGCGTGAGGCCCTGCTTTCTGGGTTCCATCAACAGCACTAACAAMAAAAAAAWWWTTTTTTAAGGAACCTTATGCTATAAAAGAGTAGTTTAAGATGATCTGCAGTTGGATTGTGGTGATAATTGCACAACTCAGTAAATTTACTAAAAAAAAAATTACTTGAATCGCATACTTTTAAAATTTAGCAAGTTTTTTTTTTTTTTTTTTTTTCTGAAAAACAGTAGCTGACCTCTGTGGTTCTTGCTATAGTCCCAGCTACTTGGTAGACTGAAGCAGGAGGATTGCTTTAGCCAGCAGTCTTCTCATGACTCATTCATTGCCTGTTAAAATGGGTTAGTTCTTTGTCATCTGTTTAGAAACTCACTTTACTTCAGGGTGCATGATTTTGTTTAGTGATTATTAAAAGACTTGACCAGTAATGCATCTTAAATGAMTTATTTTGGTTGTTCTTTAAAAACTATTTCTATATTAAGTTTTTTGTAGAGACTGTATACTGTAGTGGCTTAGTTTTATGTCTTTATGAAATAATGAAAAATGTTCTCTAAAATACTTGGTGAGAACCACATATAGGTTGAGAACAGTGTTTCTCATTAAAGCAGCTTAATAACTTTTTAAGAAAAAATTTTTTTGTAGTTGTGATGGACACAATACCTTTATTTTTATTTATTTTTATGTGGTGCTGAGGATCAAACCCAGGGCCTCACACATGCTAGACAAGTGCTCTGTTGCTGAGCCATAGCCCCAGCCCCAACCCATTRATAACTTTTTAAAAAATATATATTTTTTAAAGATCTGAATTTAAAAGATGTCTTGCCAGCTTAGTGATTTATCAGTCAGTTGGCTGTGTTCCCTTTACTTCTCACAAAGAAAAGAGTCCATACATTTTTGAGATTTCCAAGATATTAATTTCAATCGTTTTCTTAAAAGTTATGTACTTTTGTACATAAACCTAAAGATGTGTATTTTAATGTTCCATGTTTAAATGTCTCTTCAACAGATACTAAAATCAATAAATATTGTATTTGTAATAGTTAAATTCATCACATTAAATTTATGACATCAAACAATTTGTTCCTTTGTCGTAACAATGTATGAATTTAACAATATGAATACAGCAATTAAAAATGTTTAATCATTTAATTTGTATTTATGACATTGATATTTTCTTAAAATATTTTTAATTGTAAGTGGACCCAATACCTTTATTTTATTTTAYTTATTTTTTTATATGGTGCTGAGGATTGAACCCAGTGCCTCATACTTGATAAACAAGCATTCTACCACTGAGCCACAACCCCAGCCCATTACATTGATATTTAGTCCATACATAAATGTATTCTTTTTCTTAAGAAGTATGAGTTAATATATAATGGGTTTTTTGGAATTTAATCATGCTTACAAAAAGTAGAGTTGCCAAATCTTGATTATATTATCTATTTCGTATTATCTAAAACTATAACCATCCAGTCAATACTGAATACTTATTTCATATTTCAGAATTAGAAGTGAGAAGTTCAGTCTTAAAATTTTACAGTTTACATGACTTGTTGAATAATGTAATATCTGAAAAATCTACTTTTTCAGAATTTGAAGAATGGTAGTCTAACAGATTAAAATTGAAAGTTTACTCACAGAATTAGAATGTATTCTCACATATGGAGATCCTATTCCTTTTTATTTTTTATTTTGAGATAGGGTATCACTAAGTTGCTTAGGACCCCACTGATTTGCTGAAGCTGGCCTTGAATTTGCAATCCTCCTGCCTTATCCACCCTGGCTGTTTGGATATTTTTCTTGAAGCTATATACTTAGAATTTGAATTGCAGAAACATAGGGAACATGTGTCTTTATTAGGTAATGCCAAACAGTTTTCCATAATAATAGTTTATTACCTTTTACCTCAATTATTAGTATGTTACAGTTCTAATGGCTCCATATTCCCTGACAACAATAATACTTGGCATTATATATTTTAATTCTAGCCAAACTAGTTGAATGTGATTTTAATCTCCATTTCCCTGACTACTAATGATGTTGGATGTCTTTTCATATCTTGGCCATTTGAATTTCATTTTTCATGAAGTCCTTCTGAAATTTATTGCCCATTTTTCTATTTAAATGCATGTCTTTTTATAGAATTCTGGATTTGAATATAAATCCTTACTTGGATGTTTATGTTGCAAATATCTTTTCCCATTTAGTAGTTTCTTATGATGAACAGTTCTTCATTTTAATGTGACATGTTTATCAGGCTTTTGGTTAGTGGACTGGTCTTTTTCCTTCTTTGTTTGTTCCCTTCCCTTCTTTCCTTTGCTTTGCTTTCCTTTCTTCCCCTTTTCTTTCCTTTGCTTTTTCTCCCTTTTTGGTATGGTATRGTATTTTTCCCTGGTGTCATGGAAAATACTTTGATTTTGCTTTTTTTTTAACCTTTGGGTCTGTAGTGCACCTAAATCAGATTTTGTGTATGGTGTGAGGCAGTCATTTGGCTTATATGGGTCCATATTATGATTTAGGTTTTTTGTGTTTGGGGTACAGGGGTTCTGGGATTTGAACTCAAGGGCACTCGACCACTGAGCCACATCCCCAGCCCTATTTTGTATTTTATTTAGAGATCTCACTTGAGTTGCTTAGCACCTCACTTTTGCTGAGGCTGGCTTTGAACTCTTCATCCTCCTGAGTTGCTGGGATTACAGGCATTTGTTTTCCTCTGCACSCGGCTATAATTTAGGTCTTTTATTTGAAGAGTACTTATAATTTAAATATACCTTAAACTATATAGTGCTCTGGAAATTTTTGACTAGTTAACTTTTGATGTGGTATAGAATTAGTTTGACTATATGTCCTGGTTTACCCTGGTGGGAATCATCATTAATGCTTGTTCTAGCATAATTATTTGAAACATCCCTTTTCTCTCTTGAAAATGTATAGTTTGTTATAATATAACATAATATAAAATCAAAAGTCTAATCAGAAAGGTTCTGCTCAATGGATGAYGTCCTTTATATTCTGTTAGCGATTTCACTGACTAGCTTTAGTCCTGTCAAGTGAAACTAAGGTAAGCTTGATGAGCTTTGATCCTAGGAACCTAAGTAAATGTCAAGAGGTCTTAAAGGCACTCTGGAAAGGCATTGATGTCAATCTATTAAGTGTGTTTGTGGCTAATCTGGATTACAGTTTGTTTCTGCAGTTTGTTGCAGTCTTTGTCTCAGCTCTGAGTTTATTTTCTTCTTAGTACTGATCATGACCTACACTTAATCTTCTTTGCTATTTGCATATATGTGCTTGTCTTCACCTTCCCTCCCCACTTCAAAGTCTGACCAACTGGGATGAACAAATGTTTATTTAGTGAGTAAATGGAAATTATTTACCATTTTAGTTTATTAATCTTGTAAAAATCTCCTGGGGATACCTCCAAATAATGCTTTTTTATATTCACAATGTATTTTTCCATTTAATATTAAAATATCCAGCTTTCCCAACGGGAGTATTGGAGAATTTCAGCTAGTAGGGATACARAAGGATGCATTTTCATGACAAAATTGACATTGTTGGGGAAATAAACTTTTTTATTTTGTGATTCCAGCTCAGTTATCATTTTCATTTAATATTTAAAGAAAGAATCAGTTCCAGATTTTGGAGGAAATTATCATGAAGTGCAATAGACATGAATAGTTTATAAAATAATTCTAGTTATATTTGCACCTGTATCTGTAAATGAATATATATATATAGTGCCAAATG